GAACGATTACTCCCCGACTCCCGGCAGAAATTGCAGTAAATTTCTTTGCTCTTATGGGGCCATACTGGACTGGTACCTGGAAAACCTTGTAGGGCTTGGCAGCGATTAATTCAGTTCCAGCATGGGGCCGGGAAGTAAAAGTTGCATTCAAATTTATCAGCGAACGCAATGTACAGCTTCCGCTCTCACCCCTAGCCGATACATCGCCCGTAATTGCATCTCCTCAATCACTCCCATTGTATCATCCCTAATTTGGACAAAATCGTGTCTTGAAGTCTGCATGCCTTGTGCTGCCTCTGCTTTTATATTGTTTTTCCTCGCATAAAAAATCACAGCACGGCAAACTCCCTTGAAATACATTTTCGCCGTACATTAACAAACACAAATGTCCTGTTTACGAAGCTGTTCAAAATCTTGACAACAGACTAAACGATTACTTTAACTTTTGAAATACCCTACAAAGTATCTGCCAAGAACTGATTACATTAAATGGCGTGTATTGAGGTTATAAATTAATGTACGGGCATTGAATAATGACGCAGTTTGTACATTCTCGTTATGCACGGACATCCTTGCGGCGGGGCATTAAAATAAGCTCTGAACACTCAACGGGGAAACTTTCAAACTGGCAGAGTGAATGGACTCATTCATCACACGCAATCAAAACCGCACACAGGAACCAGCGCCACGTAAAACTTCGTACAACCACTGATCGTTCACATATTTCGGCGGTGACTCATACGTCCATTCATGTGTTCTTCAGCATGAGTCACTGTTCCTCGAGAGAGCGCGCCTCAAAAAGAACCACTACAAGTTGGAGCGGTAGGACCAGAACGCGCATGAAATGACCACTGGATTTTACGGACCGAAAGTTCCTTTAGCAAGAGAGGAAGTAGCTGGAGGACGGACAAAATAACATAATTACGGGCTTCATAATTCGTACACATAACCACTGTTAGGGTAAAAGAATCAACGTGGTTGAGACAACGTGAACATGTAGCAAACATACAACATTTCAGTTCGAAAAACTGAGGCAAACTGACACGTTGGGCGACGTAGACAGCAGCAAGATATTAAAATGAAAGTTTCCGAACGGAAAACAGATATGCGGTATAGAGACCAACATTCGAACCAGGAACTTCTCCCAAATGAATCAGTACTTCCATCCACTCGACAGAGAAGCTTCTAATTTTTATTTTAAAATAGGTCGTAATCAGAAGATGGATGTCTTCTGGGTTGTTGCGATTGCCCTGATGATGGTGGCAGCAAGGACCTCTGAAACGTCGGTAAACTTCTGCCAGACTACACGTTGCAGCAACCCAGAAGAGAGCCATCTTCAGACTCACGGCCGCGAAGACCTCAAATCCTACTTAGATCAAAATTATCCCATGTCTAACTAATCCTTTCAACTCACACTTTAGTTTCATCTAGTTATTTGATGCTATATGACCTCTTAAAGTTAAAAAAGGCGTCATTAAGTAATCGGTCCAACATGATATTAGCCTCTCTTTGTACTTAAACGCATCATGAAAGTTGCTTTATGTTTCCAGCACTGAAGCAACATCTGAGAGGTCAGATCAGACAACGATGTGAAAAAGTAGTAAAACGCTTGTTGAACGAGAAGGAGGCCGATTTTTATGGTCAGAGGATAGACAAGCCCATTTCACGGTATGATAAGTGTCTCAGTTCTCATGGCGATTGTGTAGAAAAATTATTTACGAGTCAGAGTGTGTCACTATATACTGCCAACATCGAAAACTACATGACTCGCTCCCAAATATGTAATTTTTAAGCCTCCCTTCTGAACACCATTCATTACTGGAGTGTAAATATTCAAAGGCAAATTTAGTAGCATCACTGTACCCAATCTATGAAATGGATGCCTAAAAGCAAAAAAAAATGTAATGAAACGTTCGTTTAAAACGCACGAGTAAGTAGACTCAAAACAAAAACATTTCGACCAATTTCCATAAAACACGTGAAATTTGTCCTTTTCCCCGTCACCTGTCTGTTGCACTCTCTCTCCCTGTCTCCGCTACAAAAATTCATTCGCAACGCCAAGTGCATCGTGGCGTGTCTATTGCAGCAGCTACTTTTTACTTTAACTCTGAAGCACGAAGAGAACAATTTACGTAATTATCTCCATTATTTTGTCTCGGTCCATATATTCTCTTAAGCAGTCGCGAGACTTTGTCCACAGAGCGTGTTTTTATGAAGCCCGTACGAATCTCACAATAAACAACGATTATTTCCTTAAACAGCATTGATCTTTGTAATGGTGAAACGTTGTGTTTTCTTTGCGGTACGGACTGAAATTTTACACAATATTTAAATACGATTAAAATATATGATAAAATTCAGGTCAATACACAAAACTTTATTAAGATGTTAAAATTTAAAATTTAAAATTTAAAATTTAAAATTTAAAATTTTAACATTTAAATTTTAAATTTTAACATCTTAATAAAGTTTTGTGTATTGACCTGAATTTTATCATATATTTTAATCAAAAAACACAAACATGACGCATGTAAACCTTAAATTTAAATACGAGTCGTGCTTCAAAGGGTTAGATCTCTTTACGTTGTCTTTGCCACTTACTAATTTCTTTACGTCTTCGTTTAATTTCGTTTTCGACTCGATGGCAAATGCAAACTTGTCGAAAGCCTCTGAAGAGCGTAATCCCATTTTGATTCCCAGCAGCACGTTTTCTTTTAGTCGGTACAGGTCAATTCAATAAGCGGATAGATGGAAACAGTTCTGGGACCAAAGAGAAACATGGCCAGATTTTAAGCACTTATAAATATGAAGAACGATACACAAGAAGCAAACAAACAAAGAAAATCACATTTCCATTTCCGTCGCCAACATTTTACTCTCAGCTGCCATTTCACTTAAAATGAAGGCTTCTAGAAATACTCCATATTCTTTTTTTTATTACATTTCCGTATGTTTTATGTAGCAAATTAAGTTTTCCGACATTTCATGTCAACTTGATTTTTGAGAGAACTCCAATTGCATCACCGCGGTGGCAGAGAATACATTTCCATCTAAAATTCTTCCATGTCTAACAAACAACACTGAGAGGAAACACCATTCGATTCAATTTATACGTCGGTCCAAATAAACAGCTCACATATACAAATGGTCATATTTTTTTTCAAAATCACCGAGTAGGTATACATTTATTTCATTTCTTCCAGCATTTTTACATGTTCACCGGTTGGGGACAAGATTCTTCCAAACACTAAGCTTTTCCTCATATATATGTGCAGGGTTCATTACAAATAATTCTTATTTATGTAATTATAATCGTCATATTAACACACGACCTACATTAGTAACAGAAGAAAAGTATGTTAATTTGTACATCGTGGAAATCGATTCAAGTTACGCGCACAAATCTAGAAAGACGCCTGTTATGGACGGTACACCAAGGGGTTGCTAAAATGCCATTTAGAAATGCTACTGTCAATATACGGTGCACTACATAAGAAAACATTTCTTAGTAAACAGCGTCCCATTTAACAATTGGAAACAGCAACAGCTTCCTTTATCGTGGGCACAGTCTGAAACATCAATAAACTGTTGAAACTCAGAAAGAAAAAAATTAAAACTCTGCAGATTCCTTCACATTTGAAACAATTTCACTTTCAGTGCAAGGAATAAAATCTTTGTTGAGACAAAGTTCCAAAGCCAAGAGCTGTATTCTGTGTCCAACAATTCTTCACCAAAGGCGAATATTAATCTCAGATTATGTGGTACAGAAGATAAGTGGTTTTGAATGCGCCAACAGCATTTTAATCTAATAAGATGAAATTGGTTATATAGGCTCCCAATTTTATTCCATTAACTGAATTCAATTCTATATTTTAACGTGCTGACTCAACAGCCATACGACCCAATTACGTATCAGCACATTCACATCAATTTAAATTAATAATTAGTTATAAACTCAATTTGTTGCGAGATAAAATCACATGTAAGATATTTTCATTAAAAAGGGTGATCCTATTGTATTGACACCCTGTATTTAATAAATTCGTAATTTTATCTTATCTTTTTGTAATTGATATGTACCTACAGCATTCCCTTATCTCATGCACTAACAGCACAGAGGCACAAATTTCCTTTCCAAATATTTGTTAACTTTTAACTCTCCTTCAAGCCAGGTATCTCATCGATTGTTCAAGCCCAAATAATGAAGTTCTTACTGATTACCATTGATAGTTATACAAAGTTCCATTTTAATATTATTCTCCTATCTACGATTACGTCTACAGAGTGGTTTCTTCCTTTCAGGAATTCCAACCAAACCACACGAAGATGTTACAAACAAGCTAAAGTAAGTCTTCACCTTTAGTTAGAAGTAAAAAGATGGAATCCAGTGGAGTAGAAATCTATTTCCAAGTGTGTTAATACGACTTCGTAATATTAACTGGCCTTGATATTCATCTGTTGCTCACACAAATCTATTGCTCTGAAGCTGCAGGCACTCGGTAGAGTCATTAATTATAAGCCCTTGTATTTGGTTAAAATTTCACCTCATCGAAACATTTTACAAACAAAACCTGTATACTAGTTTAATGGCCTCTATATCTGATGTCAAGTACATACTTTTTATGTTGGAGCGTTATTTACAACATCGATAACATCGATTCCAACGCCAAATAAGTGTGGAAAAACAAAGTTTTTATTTAAACTTACACGAATCGAACTTAAATTCGTCTAATAACATCTAATGTGACTACCCAGTACAAAATTTAATCAAAATCCCTTCAGTATTTTCAGAAAAAAACAAAAACATTCTGACAGACATACATTTTCGTCCAGTGCGTGAATTTTACACAAAGAACGCTATCGACGTTATATATTTTAATGTATTTGTAAATACATTCTGGGCGACACAAACAGTTGCTAAGGAAACACTTTTGTACGGCATTTCTCTCAGCTGACAAGCTGGAAATAAAGAATGTCCGACGCATTCTTTCTTCACTTACCTTGACCTTCCTGCATTTTCTGGCAGCGATAGATCTCGATTTTCTTCTCAGTGACTCCAGAGAGGAGCAGTTTATTTAGAAGTATCGATTAGAAAACAAAATTTATGTCACTGATGATGAAATGTCAAACACACTTAGAAACTGAAGTGTCTTCCCACTAATTACACTTATGCACTAAAAATAGGCTAACACACGTCAAGCGGAGTTCTTTAAATGTATAAATGCAACGCGGCTGGAATTGAAAACCCAACTGATCTGTACTTAATATACTGATGACAGATCATAACACGCGGTAATGAAACTATCTCCCCTTTCCGAAGTCATAACAAAAAATAAAAAAATAAAGAAAAATGCGCAAGATAAATTCGAAAATAGAGAAATCTTGAAAGCAACGCCACTTCACTTAGCAGTTGTCTGGTAAACTCTACAGCGAAAATTAAAACAAATAGCAAATTAACACGATGGCAACGCGTATAAAATAAACGACGAGCGTCTAGCGGTCCTTTCACAGCATCACCCTGTTCGCTTCTGACGAGATGAACACATGCGTCTCGACGCCGGCGTCTATTTCTCCTCCATCCCATCCATGAGCCCCTCTCACTCCCTCCAAATTCTCACATCTGTCACACATCCGAGCATCAAGAACCATCATATCAGCTGATAAGATAGTAAAATTACTCTTTCCGTTTGATTGATTTATGAATTACCTAGTAACGAGCTATGGACAGCACGGATTAAAATCCTTCAAATACTTAAGGACGTTATGAATCGTGATTTTCTCGTGGTCCACCTGAAGGCAGTAATTAGTGACTGGGGAAATACCAGGAAGAACCAATTATAATACTACGTGCTGTAGTTGAGATGTTCAAAATCATGAATACCTCTCTATTCAGTTCATGAGTTAGAATTTCTCACAGAACGCTGCATTGCTTGTCCTGTGAAGACAGAAAGAAGCCTTCTAATCGACTAATACCCCACATGCAGAGCTCGATTTATAAAGAACAATGTGAGATCTGAGGTAAAATATCGACTGCCGTCTTCTGAGTTGTGAATACGTGTTATGGTAAGTTGTTTCTAACGGTTCGGGGGCGCATATACCCTAAAGGTGGAAGATATACGTTCCTCCATACTGTTGTTAAACACATATGCGGCGTCACAACACGATGACCACGCATCTCATTACAGGAAAGGAGAATTCTCGTTTCTTTGACTGTGCTACTCATCTGTGGTCACAGACCAAATATAATTTCCCAGGACATTTCTATCGTCAAATGAGTGCAACGCCGTTCTGTTAGACTACTTCTCCGACATCTGTATCCGGCACATCTGCCTACATACGAACCGCCCTCTTTAATTCAAAACGATACAGTTAGAAATTGCTATGAATTATTAACCTTTCATGTGAATAGTTTGTTAAACATCGCTTTATTTGTGCGTTCCCGTGGTAACTGACAATGCCAACTGTTTGAAAACTGCAAATCGATTACTTAAACTGTCATGAACATGAAGCGAAGTTCCTCTAGCATTGTTAGGTCTGCATACCAGATCCAGTCAAGGTAGAAACGTCTGATTTCTGATTTTGGCAAATATTAAAATACAAGGCCTAACTTCTAGTCCTGTGTCCCTCTTCAATGAAATCCTCGAGCTGCAATAAAATCTGATGATGCTAAATTTTTCATTAATTGTTGTTCTTATTCTTCCTTGCATATTTTCTAGCATTGCTTACGCCGCCTATTTCGACGCAATTACTTCGATACACCCTGTACGGAACCCTGCATAAGGATCATGCACACGAAAACATGGGACAAATATAAATAGACAGGACAGAATCGAAATCGACGATGACAACTTACGATTGGCCTGAGACCGGACATATTCACAACCCTGTGAGGTTATAAAACATCAAATATTTGAATGATGACTCAGAAATGATGTGGAACGAAGCGGTCGTGGCATATTTTAAAACGCTGTTCCTTCATTTGTCAGGAGGAACAGGGGAAAACTAAAAGAAACCTTAGTCATGACAGCCGGCCTTCAGGACGAAGGAAATCCAGAATACAAATCGAAAGTGGTGATTAATTAATTCAATGCAACAGATCGTCTGAGACACTCGTTAAAACCTAGATAAAGCTTTAAAAAAATAGAAAAGAAAAACAGGGAAATTATCCTGCCTGAATTCAAAACAAGCACGCACGATCAGTTTTAAAGACCGAAAGCTTGTGACCACACAGCAAACATTTCCTCTCTAGAGAATCTAGACATGTAGAACAGCCCTGAGGTACACCATTCAGTGTCACTTTGCAGCTGCATCCAGAGCAGAGTCCTTAAGTCCGTGATAAATGATGCTTTCTTTCTTAGATAGAGATGTCTCTAGATCCATCATTAGGCGCAGTGAAGAAAATATATCGCGTCATTGGAGACACAAGCGAAGCGTGAAGCTAGCGACGATTTGTCTTTGTATCGTCAAGATCCTGTCACTTTTGTTTCTTTGTTCGTATCTACGTTAACCTTTAGAAAGTAAGGACGTGCAGCTGCTTAAAAGCGAAGGCCATGGAAAATATGAATCTCACTGTTGGTCAATTTCCAGGTTCGATAAGCAATGAAGAAAAAATTGCAGTTGCATTACTTGTAATCCAGCTTTAACACAATTCAATGCAGTTTTAAACTATTCAAAACCAATGGAATATCTGGCACTACTTATCTTTCGTGAGATCAATTGTTAACTCTGATGTTACAGAAAGCAACTCAGAAACTTTGAAATTTTTTATCCGCCCCTCACTTTTGAATTTGTTCCATATCCTCCCAATTACCTACATCCTTGGTGGTCCAATGTTCATACGCATTAGAGAAATCCATAATGCGGATTTCCACTCCGCATCCAAGAGTACAATGACTTACTTCAGCAAAATAAATTGGGTCCTTCTTCTCCTCTCTTGTCTGACTTTGAGTCCTTATTTGTAAATTTAGGAAATTACATAAGGAGGAACTTCATGGTTAGACAGGTACCTAGGACTGTCAGGACATTCAAATGAGGGCAATTACAATGGACTGAACATGTGATTCACATTCAAGAGAAAGGTAATGTATGCAGAAGTTCGGCAATAAAACCTCTTGGAAAACCATCGCTTGGGAGAGAGAGAGAGAAGGGGGTGGAATAGTACCTTAAAATAAATGTAGGAGGGATGTCGGTTGTTAGGATGGCTGGATAATGCCCTACTTTGGCCTTCAGAATTAGCTAGTCATTATAAAAGTCCAATATTCTCAGTAAGTCACCTTCTTACCTTATTAATCCATCTCTCGTCACAATCGGTCAGCCGCCACCATCCTCCTCCAAGGACATTTGTTGTCCACGAAAAAGTTGTTCCAATTTGTCATTAGGCTGAGCTGGTAATCCAAAAGGCAGGAGATAATCCATCTGAAAGCATTACAGTACATGGGTTGACCTACCTTTTGTGAATTACCATTATCATTGTTGGTATTATTATCTATATTTTAATTCCTCAGCCAGTTAGTCAAATGTTGGATAATAAATTAAAATTAACTGCTTCTGCTTCCTTCTAGGCCTAACACGATCAATCAAAATGTCCTCTATCAATCATCAGTGCTTTTCTCAACGAATTACGAAAAATTTTATGAAGTTTCTTTCAGAGATCATATTGAATTTAATTTAGCATTCAATTTACACTGCCACCTCAGCAAGGTGTAAGTTTTTGTTTTACGTTACGCTTTCATGCGTCTGACAATGTATCGAAAGAGGTTCAAGGTCGTCATTTCTCATAAAGTAACTACCCTGTTCACGACGGTTTACTCTCCCCTCCAAACCCATCACTAAAAATATATATATTACTGACTGTGGTAGATAAGGAATCCGAGTGCTTTTCCCAATAATTCTAACCTCTATCACTTGTCAATGTATTCTGAACCACGAACAATTTATTTAATTTTCATTATTGGCTTATAAAGCACGTATCCTATCCCCACCATATTACGTGTTTTCAACAGTGTTTAAAATATGCCCTATTCATAAAATGTCATATAAAAGAATCGTGCTGTGTTTCCGTGGTAGAATGACTTTACCGCATATTCCAAAATCGCATAAGACTACAGACCTGAAATAAAAGTGTTTTATGTTTACACATAAGTAGCAGTTGAGGTTTTTACGGCGGTGAGTCCGAAGATGGCTGTCGTCTGAGTTGTTGCGCCGTGTAGTCTGGTAAAAGCTTACTATACTGCAGACTCATCGCCTTGATGATGGAGGCAGTAAGAACCTCTGTAACGTTTGTAAACTTCTATAACTCTACACGGAGCAGTAACCCAGAAGCCAGGCATCTTATGTTTAGACACATCTGCATGGGTTGTTTCATCTTACCCTAAAAATTACACACTTACCATGAAATTAACTAAAAAGGGATTGTCTTTTTTGCTATATTCACAAATTTCACCAACATCAGAAACAGCCACAAAATACTGCGAACAACACTAAAATATGAACTACTCTGCCATCTTTAGTGTAATATAGAAACTACAATTACTACTGAACCAAAATAGCATCTTTCCTCCATTTGTTTAATAATAATTGCGACATAACTCAAGTTACTGGGTTAAATTTTTTTGAATATTTCTATAAATGATCTGTATATGTATTTATAACGTACTGTCAACAAATTCATATCTAAGTACTGGTTGTTGACAACGAAATATACAAAATGATGACTATATCCGTACGCTTCTACATTGTTTTTGTATCGACATGTACGTGGTCGATTGTTCTGTTACTCGTTATGGTCGACGTATGTTCGCGATCTTTATTTTTAACATAAATAATTATATTTGTAGTACCAGAAGTGTTAAACGAGTTTGAACAGTTTTTGCAGTATTAGTCTATAGTATGTGGTCAAAAACTGTATTACTTTCTTAATTCAAGAATGGCTTTCTCGAATTCGGTCGCAAGGCGTCGTGTTAGAGGTGAGGTTATGTTGTTCAGGATCTTAATACATTTTTTCCGGGAGAAACAGCTAAAGGCGGAATTGTCTCCACTGTATACAAAGTTTGGCATCTGTGTAAATATTAAAAATTAATTTTTATTTAGTCAAAATATAGTGTCATCCCTTTTCCTTTTTCAATGTTATGTTCTTGAAATTTTCGTTTAAAGTTAAATGTGTGCATTAATTTTGTATATTAACAGTTGACAGTGGGCCATCAGAGAGGAAGAAACCCAAGACATGTTGTGGCTATGGAGAGAACTGCTATCGTCGAAATCCATTACACTTCTCAGAATATTTACATCCACATTGTAAGTTAAAGATACATTCCGCATAAAAGTGTAGCTGTCTTGCTGCATGCCATGGAGTCTTGTGGGGAAAGAGGAGGTGTAGTTTCTACTCACATCATAACCACATGAATTATTTGTTTTGAGAGAATTTATTTTACTTTTAATTTAATTTGCTGTTTGCATAACATTTATATCTGGAAAGATTTTAGGGATTTCTTGAGTAAGGTACATTGTTGTGTCTTCTTTGGTTATGGTTGTAGTGTCATTGTTCATTCTTTCTATAAGTGTTAAGAAAAATGTATTTAAATGAGTTGCTACATCATGGCTGTTTAATACTAAATCCCAGTTTTGATTACTTAGATGTGTTATGAATTCCTTATATCACTTATAAGTTTATTTATTTTCTGTAATTATGATAATTGGAGATTTATTCTATATTTTATATGACTAGAAGTTGTGCATCAAGATCAGATAGCCCATTTATCACTGGTTCAATAGAAATGTGTTCCTTTATGGATTACTTTAGAATAAAATCCTGTTTTTGTTTCAGTGGAAAGACTTTATTCTCTACAGGAGGTTGGTAAAGATTTGATTCTACCCTCAGGTTACAAGGCAAAGATAGACACAAGCATAATTTTGGACCAACTACAGATATATCGTGATCAAGGATTTACTGCAGAAAAGGATGTTCAGAATGCTGAAAGTCAGAAACAGAATACTGAAGATGACAGACCAGTATCAGTGGGGAACCAGAGTGTTAACCAAGGTTCAGACATGAGGAAAGGCTTTGCTTTTAGATTGGCCAAGGCTAGCCCTTACAACTTCTTCCTTACTGCAGTACGTGATTCACCCCCGACTCATAATGAGGTGCTGTCTATTAGATTTCATGAGCTCTTGGACCCTACAATGGGGGACTTGGATTCATCTTTGCAGATCAATTTCATGGTTGAACTGGATTGGTTATTGGAAATGTATAAAGTATATGGACATGAGTAAGTTTAACATGTATAACCTGTAGTCTAATGGTTTTTGACTAAGATATGTCATTAAACTGGTGCATATTCATGGATATTGTACTTTTAATATGTTAACAGTTAACATACATGCCATTTTGAAAATCTATTAGGTTATATCTGACAAATTTAGCATTAATTAATCTGTACTAGTGGAATTTAGATGCAGAAGCTGATCACTAATTTATTTCATAATGCAGAAGCTGATCACTAATTTATTTCATAATATAGAGATCTTTCTAGTTTCATCATATACATTAAAGATTTTAACTTTTATTAGCCATGCACCACAGCTTATGCATCATCCAACCGGTCATGTGTCTCAGTAGTAGACTATTGTCGTTAAACAACACACATGCCAAAGTTAAAATTTGGCCAGCACCTCAGCAATATGGTTATTTAAATATCCTATTCTCTTGTGTTAGAGGTTAAAAAAGTTGGCAACATAAGTTGTCAGATTTTTTATGTGTGATGGCTTTTCAGTCAGTCTCATAAATCACTGCTAGTAAATTCCAGTTGTTAAGTAATTGTGTTTTTTCTGCATCTAACAGGTCAAAACCACTATTTATCCTGTATGGAGAAGAAGATGATATGTTGAAAAATCCAAAGTCACTCCCTCAAAACATTACAGCCAAGAAAATAAAACCTTCAGCCTTCGGTCATCATCACACGTTAGTACATCATTGAAACTTGAAATGTTCTAGCGTAATAATTCAGTAACTATACATCATCAATAACAACGGTTATTTCGTTTTTACCATTATACATACATGGTGTCTTGCAGACATATTGACATGTGGCTTGTCAAGAAATTTCTGGAGACATTTTTTTTCACTGGTATTGGGATGGAGCACACAAAATATACAAGCCAGTTTCTAAACTGCACATATTGAAATGTTTTTGAAGAAATTGATATTTGATTCTGAACACAGACATTAGAATATTCTTGTATCAGTAGTCTGTGAATATGTGAGTGTCAAGGGGCACCACAGTTCCAAATTGTCACTGTCTCCATTATAAGACACTGATGATGGAGGCAGTCTGCTCCTCCAAAATTTCCTTCAGTTTTTACCAGAGTACATGGTGCAGCATCCAAGAAGACAGTCACTGATATAAGAACCTTAAATATCACAGAAGATACTTTGTCGTACCTGTTTGTAAAACATGTCACTGATTTATGGTTTTTTAAATTTGTTTTCATCCCTAGCCTTGTAAATACAAATCAGTTTTTTTATTCTTTTACAAACTAGGTGGTTTTTGCCCTATTATTATGTTGTTGTTTTTCTTTTTTCAGAAAAATGTCTGTCTTCTATTATAAAGATAACAGTTTGCGAGTTGTTGTTAGTACTGCCAATCTTATATCATCAGATTGGTACAATCGCACACAAGGGTAAGTTCGTTATCACTTAATACTCGTGTTTTAATTAACATTTCGGAAGGTGCGTGATGCAGGAAAATAAATTTATGAAATGATTATTTTTATTCAGTTAACAAACTGCTATATTCTATATGCTGTCTAATACAAAATGATTGAAATATAAAAACAATAATTTTTGCACAATCTCTTGCACACTGATGACGTTTCTTGAAAACAGAGTGTTCATCAGGAGTGAGTTTCTACTCAGTGGGAATTGACCACTCTCTTCCTGCCGAACCTTAGCTACCAGATCTTTCTAAGGGCTCTCCTATCATCCCACAGACATTTATTTACCCTGGAGATTTTTGACTGTAGTAGTTTATGATATGGAATGTCTTTGATAAATGACATGGCTTATCCTTGAAAAGAAACGTTATACAAAATACATGTTCATGAAAAATGTTATAATATGTCTGCTTTTAATTTGGAAAAATTTCCCTTGTCTGGAGTATTGTAAATAAGATGGAGTGTGTATAGTAATTAACTTCTTACAATGAAATGTTACAGGGTCTGGGTAAGTCCATTATGTCCACAGCTCCCCCCCAATTCTGATACCAAGGCTGGGGAATCTCCCACGGAATTTAAGGCTGATCTGCTGCGCTACATGGCTTTTTATGAGTTACCTGCATTGCAAGAGTGGATGTCTCGGTTACGAAAAACTGATTTCTCAGCCATCAGGTATGTAGAAATATGAAAGTTGCCTACCTTTTGACAGGTTAGTTTAGTATGTTATTATATTAAGATTAAAAAATGGGACAAATATGATTTAGTGCAATATGAACATTATTATACAGTTCATGTTTTTGTTTTGTGCAATTTTTTATATTAAGAAAACATATGTTAGTGTTTTTGCATGCAGATGGAACTCAAAAGATATATGCTATAGAATTTTCTCAAAAATGTGGAGTTAACAACCCTCCACCACTTATACCACGACTGTATGTAGATAATGCACAGAGTAGTTTCTTTTCTTTCTTAGATAGCGTAAACTTGAAAGTTTCCGATCCAACCCATGAAGACATTACTAGTTAAGTTTATATGACTAATGTTTGGGATCTAGGTTACGTAGAACAAATGACATCAACATTGTGATTCATGTTTCATACCTCCTCTAATGTCTTTCTTTTCAGCAGACACTCCCATCGTATTTGTGCCTTTTTGTGATTACTTAAACTTTGTCATAGTTTCGTACATCTACTACAATAGTTTTAAAAACTGAGTTTCTGTAAGACTCGTTGTGTTAAAGGGTCTTTTTTGTGGCATCTGTTCCTGGCTCTCATCGAGGGCCTGAGAGTGAAAAGTGGGGGCATCGACGTCTTGGTCATCTGCTGAAGAAACATGTCGAGATTCCCTCCCTTCTGTCTCCGAGCAGAGAGAACTGGCCAGTCGTTGCACAGTGTTCATCTATTGGAACACTGGGGACCAACCCTGACTCTTGGATGTGTGGGGAGCTACGCGGCAGTATGTCGCAGAGGATGATGCGACCTGGGGACATGCTACAACCTCCGCCACAGTTCAGAGTGGTAAGTGATTTTGGTAACAGACATTTTGAATTCTTTAAGTCTGTCCCCATTTGTGCATAGATGCTGAAAGCTTCTTCCTCTCAATAATAGTTGGAAGATCGCTACAAATTATCTCCACGTGGATGTTTTATTACAAGACGGGGAGAGTATTAGGCAGTATCAATAGAAGCATTTGTCAGAGTATGTGAAGTTGCCCTTGGCGCTTGGCAGTAGGTGGAGGCAAGTGGTTAGCTTCACATCCCAGCCACTTTACCCCCTAGAAAAGAACCTAGAACCCCGTTTTACAGGAGACTGGGTGGGCCCCAGAGGCAGTCTGGATGTTGTGGCAAAAATAAAAGTTTTCTCATAGGAATGGAGGAAATGAACTCCAGTAATCCACCTGCAGCTTAGTCGCTATACTGACTGAGATAAATAGAAAATAAATAATTCTGAGACTAAATTTGAGATTTTATCCAAAGTGAAAATTGCCATTGCGATTATGGACCAAAATTACATTTGTCAGTAAACTTTAGTAATGGTCTCTGATATTAAATTGATTGAAAATCCATTTAGAATGTATTTTTTATAGTAATCCAGGGAGCCAGCACTTTTGTTTGGACTGTAAAGTTTGCCGCTACTGAAAACACATTAAAGACGTGGGAGTTCAAAATTTTGAACTGTTCATACCTTACTTGTTGTAGCGTATACTACATTACGAAGTACTGTGTTGTGTGTAGAATTGTGGAGTTTCAGCGTTTGTATTACTGTGCATCAGAATTCTCTATTGAAACTTACAGATTTATCCGAGCTTTCGGAATGTGAAGAACAGTCATGACGATTTACTTGGAGGTCAATGTTTGCCATACTCAGGGCGAACACATGAAAAGCAGACTTGGTTTACAAAGTTCCTGTTGTAAGTACTCATTGGTCAAGTTTCGTAACATTTATTATCCTCCCCTCTGCACTTGGTTCTTTCTGGTAGTCTCTTCCTTGAGATTTCCTGATCAAAATTTTGTATGCATTTCTCATGTCCCAATTGCATGGTAATGTCCATATTGTACCATACATTCCAGCTCTTGTACTGATGTTATTACGTCTGTAACAGTGAATGGAAGAGTGACAAACGACATCGTTCAAAGGCAATTCCCCACATCAAGACTTACGCGCGGGTCTCTACCTGTGGCCGTTATCTTGCATGGTTCCATCTGACAAGTGCCAACCTGTCTAAAGCTGCGTGGGGCAAATTACAAGAGCCTAAGGGAAAAGGTTCAGCGCTGTACATTATGTCGTATGAGGCTGGAGTACTGTTTGTGCCGAAGCTATTGGTAAGTTTATCGTGAACTAGAGTTTACGTGATAGTGTAAAGAAAGTTCATAATCACTCTTTTATTTTACTTTACATCAAATTATGTTTGTACTGATTTAATTAATGTGAGAATGGAGAAACTGTCTTGTGAACATATTCTCATGACCTAGTTCACGGACGCTTATATTTTAATAAGATAGTTTAAGAGACGTGTGAAAATCCTGATGATGTAAAACTAACTTAAGAATTCCATAGAACAAGGTCTTATATAAAAGTTGATAGTTCCTCAGTTGGTTGAGAAATTTCCTGCTTTTATAGAATCCAAAATTTAAAGTCAAAGCTCAGATCGTGAATGACAGGGGCAGAGGGAATACCAAAGTGACAACAATAATTTTAGATTTTTCATATTTGTATTTAGTTGCCCAATACATCTACAAAGCACAGTATTTAGGAAGAACTTTAACTCTATTTCCCCATATATGTGGCACATGAGAGTTAATTTGATATTCCAGGTAAATGAAGAGGTGTTTGCCCTAGAAGGAGAAAGGGTGACGGCAAACAAGCCGTCATTCCCATTGCCATGGGACTTACCGCTGTCAGCGTATGATGCCGATGACAAGCCTTGGGTCAGCGAATATTTGTATTAATGTCTTCAGACGACAATTCAGCAAAACCTGCTTCCCGGGGCTGCAGAGGCATCATCCTGATTCCTGAGGGAGCACATTACAAAATGAGGTAACCAGCAATTAGAAAATATATTTCCTAATAACCATAAAATAGTTATACAGGGTGATTCAAAGGTTAGGGCCAAACTGAAGGAGCATATAGAGGGACTCTGAGAGAATAATCATACTTTGCTATTCTCCTACTAGCTTAATTTTGTTTTTTATTAATGCACAAGAATTACATTAGCAATCTTACAAACCAAATTATTTCAGCGGTATTTTATCGGACTTCCATACTTTCAGTGGCCTAGACTGACTCAGGATGACTTCGGAGGACATGGATTCCTATTCGAAAGTTGTTCTCTCTGAGTCCTCTATACGCACCTTCAGTTTGACGCTAACCTTTTAAGTCATACAAATATAATCAAATTACTTTACAGTTAATTATTTTTTACTGTGATTTACCTTTTTTGTGCCTGGTAGCAGTTTTAAGTCATGCAATTATAAGGAAAGCTCGTAACTTCATGTATTTTAGAAGACGTAGGTGGCTGTCTTCTGAGTAGTTGCGTTGTGTAATCTGGCATAAATTTCCCGCTGTTTCAGAGGTGCTTGCTACCTTTATCATCTTTGCCCACTGCTTAAAGACAATACAACCCCTTGGTATGTTTTATATGTATCTTTATTCCTGGAGAAAGAGGCCGCTGTAGCTGTTAAATAGGAAATTGGCCGGAACAAGAGCTGGCCTGGACGTTGTGGCAGAGAGAAAAATTCCTGTTTTTGCTAAGAATCAAAGCCTGGTCTTCCAGCCCACAGACAGAGAAGAGAAGATGTCCGATTCTAAACGGTCATTTCCATTTGTGCCAAAACCACGTAGACCCTGTGTCATGGTGTCAACGTCGTGTCAGTTATGTGTACGCAGTGATGACGTTATTTTGCCGTCATTGTTTGGTTTCTGTACGATTACATCAAACATTTTCTTATGTTGCCAAATACTTCTACCTTGAGGTTTTCCAGCGATGGCAGTGTGTCGTATGGTTGAGGACAAAGTCCGTTGGAAATGCAAGTAGTTTTAACCGTCCTCCTCCTCTTTGTGACTTGAAGGATTAGCTGACCTTGTGCCTGTGCCTGTTACCATCTTTCAGTCGTCTTCCTCTTATTCTCCACCACGCAGGTTTATAATTCTGTGCTGTCCTTAGCCGCCTGTCATCCTCGCCGATTCCATCTGAACGGTCGTCCTCATCTCTTCCTGTATATAGTAATGTCTTCAACTTTACCGGCTGCAGCTGACGCTGCCGTAGCTTCGTCAAACACCATTAGAACTTGTTTAAGTGTTTCGTCTCGTAAGAATGTAGCCTGGCTTTAGATTAATTTCAATATTCGTCTCTTACATGCCATCTAGACGCAAAATAATGGAACTCTGATATTTTATGGTATTTTGTGAGTGTAAGAGGTCATTCCATGAAGCAGCAGAGAATAAAATGCTGACAGTGACTTAAATATTTTTGGAAACCTGACACACGTGAGGACGCATCATTGCGACGGTGAGTTCATGACAGTGATGTGTGTTTGATGTCATAGGAACTGCTGGAAGATGTGTTTTGTGATATGTGCGGTTGCTTTTGTATGAAAATAACTTTACCGTTGTTTTTTGTTCGAATAATGCGTTTACATGTTCATTTCATCTTCATTTTAAACTCTTGTGAATTCTTGTTTTAGTTTTTTGATTACTTTTTCCAGAAGAACGGTCTGCAGATTTTTACAAAATCTGTTCACTCGGTTTTCCTTTTCTCAAATTTAAAGCGTGATAATGCGCACAGTACAAGGTTTTTCCTGATATGTCTGTAGTTGTACACTGCCACGTGTTTAAAAATGCTGGTTCAGTTACCAAGGTTGTTTGTGAGATCACAAATGTTGAAAAATAAAGGACTGAAAACAGTGGTCACAGCTGATTTAAGATACTGTCCCACCAGTCACTTGGAGAGACTGAGGAAAACCACTAGAACATCACCTTCATATATACATGTTGCTGTTCCTTTGACCTCCAGAGTGATGTTTGTTCATTTTATTAAGAAATTACCTGATTTTACAAAATCTGAATTTGTGTCATCTTATTCACAAAACCCTATCCTGAACCAGTGCATCCAAGTTCACATCTGCATAACCTATGTGTCTTCTTTAAGATCCATTTTAATATTATCATCTCAGTCAGACCTATGAACCAGGCCAGTAAAGTCAGTCATGGGCTGGATGGCCAGGATTCAGTTCCCAGTAGGGGCAGAATTCTTCTCTTTGCCATCTCATACAACCTTGCTCTGGGGCCCACTCACCTCCACCTGATGCTGAAGTTTAGAATGTATGGAGCCATACCTCTGCACCCCAAAACACCTTCGTGTTTTAGTGTCATCACATATTTGTAACGTTACCTTCGCCCTCTATGTCTTCCAAATAGATTATTCTGTTGAAAGTTTCCAACAAAAATTTGTTATGGATTTCCTGTTTCCTTCCTTCCTGCATCTCAGATAAGTTCTGGGGTAGCTGAATCCGTAAGATTGCCGAATACGATTTGGGCGGTTGGTGCGTGATGTGGTCATAATGTTTTTGCAAGCCGATCTTATTTTTAGCTGTCTCAGCGTCATTTAACGTCTCTGGCATAACCCAGACAACGCACGTTGTCACCTTGGAAACCTTTGCTCATCAATACGTTTGGCGAACCACGTACTAGTTGTGAGTTATTTACAATTGCAGTCCCCTTGAGAGAGAGAACGCTGTTGACTGTAAATGGCTTTTAGAGTGGGTGTCTGGGAAATGAAACAATGCCCTGCAATGGAAGACGCAACGAAGGCGGTTTTTGTTTCATTTGTTTGAATTCATAAGCGCATAGTCAGGGTTGTTTGGACAAGTGTGCGTCAGTCTCTGGCGGAAACGTTCTTAAACAAATGTATAAAGAGAGTTGAGATACTCAACTGGAAAATCCGAACAAGAAGACGGGACAAAGAGTAGATTGATCAAATTACGTACGCATTATCATTTTTCTGTGGTGTAATTAATTGTTTAATCATCCAAACCTAGCGCACTTGGTCTGTCATTTGTTGTCCGTTGGAAGGGAAGTCGTGAGTCGGAGACGTGCATAAGGTTAATTGTTGTGGAACTGTGGAGTTCTCTGTGGTCCTGTCTCCTGTCAGGAAGCAAGGCTACATTGTTAACTGTTTACGAAAATGAATAATGCTCCGTGGGTGCTCGCTGATTTTGCGAACTTCTTGGGTCCGTCGGAGTAATGATGCAGTTTTATGGCATAGTTTTAGCGTGTTTGATTTTAGTAGAAAATACGCCATTACAGAAATAGTCCGGTCCGTATGAATGTATCGCGGAAATAACTATGGCCTAGCCCCGCCAGTTGACCTTGACTCCGGAAAGGCTTTTTGCGTATAGTAACACAAGGACACTAAAATAATTTACACATGCAAACATGAATTAGGTTAAAATATTGTGCAACCTTGCTCGACGAATGGAGTCACTGCCCGAAAATGCCTTCCTGTTGACAGACTTTAAAAAGAAATTAAGATATACTCCAACTTTAAGGTCACATTGTGATTCGCCTTCATGTTTATTTGTTGTAGATACAAGTCCATTGTTCGCAGCCACTCGCACTGTAATCAGAGGTTACTTCTGTTTATATGTCGTTAAATATAAAGTACTTGTTGGTAGTAATGTCTGCGATTTATTTGGCTCAGGGTGGGGATCAGTGGCGGACAAGCCGAGCGTACTGTCAGCTTCTCAAGGATTCTGCTCTGATGAGTTGTAAATTATTTTCGGAACTTGTCCATTATTTTCATATATCATTGACGTTATTTCAGACATAGTTTCATTGTTGAAATTTTGGCCAGAGTGCAGATTAAGGCCACTACAGAGACATAAATTATGTTTGATTGTGTTTTGGTACAAATTTACCACACCAGAGTTTTTTCGTATGAACGTTGTGTGCCGTAATGAAATTTGTATTGTGCAATATGTCCATTTTATTGTAGTACTCGGTTTTGAGAAAATTTTACAAAGTTTTATTTCACTTTAATGTAAAATGGGGGTTACATTGAAGCGATACAAACCAGGATGAAAACCGCTCGTAACATTTTGTGCAGACTTGGCAATGTCAGTCTTCATCTGCGTGTATTCGGTAGTTTTGGAGATTATCCTGCACCTCAGTTCGGGAGTGTGAATTCAACGTTGTGTGCCTTGTCCTAGAGGGGTGTGGCTTGCCAGTATTTGTTGTCCTCTCTTGTACATTTTATGACCTCACTTTATCGTATTTGCAGCAGACCAATATGACAGCTTGAGGGCATCTAATACAGCGTAGCGTATATTTTCTGTGTTGATACGCACATTGCTGGAAGGACGTACAAAGGTGTGAGCTACATGCTAATCTTTGTTGTTGAAAACTTTTCGTTGGTCATTGTAATTCGTGATGTGGTTTGTAGTTCCCAAGAAAGAAGCTCCGTACTCTTGGACACGTGTCATCTCGTGCAGATGCTACTGGACATTTTAATACATTAACAGCGTCATCAGATATATTTCGTGGTCTATTCTTACATTTGCGTCTTCGGGATTACTTACATTTAGCCATGCTGTGTAGCAGAACCCGTAGGTCCAACACCAAAGCCCGCCACAGGACACGATCCTGAGCCAACTCCATCCATTTACCATCTTTACGGCCGAACTCCCTGAGATCCATCTTGATAGTATTCTTCCATCTCCTTCTTGGTCTGCTCAGTGATCGTTTTCCAGAAGGATTTCCTAACAAAATTCTGTATGCAACCCTTACCTTCCCCTCCCCCCATGCGCGCTGCATGTCCAGCCCATCGGAGCCTCCTAGATTTCACTATCCTCATTGTGCTAGGTGACTTGTACAATTCACGCAGCTCCTGGTTATGTAATATTGTAAATTCCCCGCGTACTTCATTCCTCCGGGGTCCAGATTGTGAAACGCAGGTTTATGCATTTTTTGTTTCGCTCTTAGAAATCGTCGCGTAAGTTGGGAATTTTTTTCCGTAGATTCATTGTCAAAAGTAGGAGTTACGTTCCTCAGCGGATATTTTTCAAATTTAAATAACATTTTAACGTCTTAGTAAAAATAGGTTATGTAAACTTATGAATATGGCGTTAAATAATTGTTTTACATTAAGAATGTTGTTTATCTATAGTATATTAATATTCGAGCCACGGTGGTCTAGTGGTTAGAACGCTGGCCTTGTAATCCTGGGGTCTCGGGTTTGATTCCCGGCGGTGCCCGAATTCATAACTTGTGTTGGGCAAGGCCGTGGTCTAGGCAACACGGAGTTTTCCTCCGGGGGCTTCCCCGGTTTCTCCGTGGCATCCTAACAATTACTCCATTCACACACAGAAGAAGGCAATGGCAAACCACTTCTGGATCATCTGCCAAGAACGTATATGAACAGGTCCCAGTCCGAGAAAAGGATGGAAGGATCCTGTTCATATGGACCTGTCGCCAGACAGAACACTAAATAAAAATATAAATATTAATATTCACCAAAAGCTCTTAACGGGCTTAAAGTATGAATGTTGGAGATTTATGTTTAGGTTTGACGAAGTAATTAAGTAGGATCAATGGAATAGGCTCTTGAGAGCTTTTGTCTCATTGTTCGGAAACGGTTATAAATTCTGAGGTTGTTGGAGTTTAAATTTCTTCTTTTAACTTAACGTCGTTCTCTTCCTTGACACAACCAAGTTTTCCTAAACGTTTATTTAATATTGATGTTTCCTATGTTCATTGTCCTTGGCCACGCCTGTGTGTAATGTCACGTGATACTTATACCATATTTGACTTGCCTATTTCCGTGTCTGTATGGAAACCAATAAAATATTAAATAATCTAATTGTAAAAGAGTGACGGAATTGAATATGCATGTCAGCAAGGCTGCATTAAAAATAAAAATTCTATAGCCCGTAGGGCATCACACGTATTCATGAAGTTGTGTTCATTTCCACGTGCTAATGTTTCTTTCATCAAAACAACCTCGACTTAAGTCGGTATTAAATGCGGCATGTTTGTTATGTATGTATTTAGCGCTTTGAGTTGGTCTTTCTGTCTTGAATCTCCGGCGCTTTTGAACTGCGGATATAATAGGTAGGATTTGGGGTTGTTCATCATCAGGGCGATCAGCGCGTGACTTTGCAGACGAGTGACGAACTGAATTATTTATTAACTTGGTCTGAAGCCGGCATTCATCTCGAGAAGCAGAAAACTACGAGTTGTGAGTAATTCCGTAGAGATTCGAACCGAGTACCTCCCAAATCCAAGCCAGCTAGCTTTGGGTAACACTGGCCTACAAGGCGTTACACTGCGCATGTCGCATAAGATTGATCCTGCTTATCGACTTGGTCTTGTGTGGCCTGTCCACATTGCGGTGAGGTCGCCCGAAGGACGATGCTGAGAGCCTTCTCCTCAGCTATCCTTTGTCAGTACGGACCAGAAAACCTGCGGTTGTGGTCGAGGGACCAGAGGATCTGTTTTCAGGTACAGGTCGACCACAAGATCCGTATCCATCTGAAGATCCGCAGGTTTTACGAATCCGGTTTTCTGACATGCAGTATCGACACAGAAATCGAGACTTCTAAATGGCTCTCGTAGAAAGTGTACTAATTTGAGTAATCCGCCGTGTGTTCTGGTGTTAATGTCAGTAAAGTTGGCGTGGTCAGTGTTTATTTTATGACGATTTGCATTACGTCGAATTCGTTGACAGCTTTCTTCAACTTTGTTGTCTGGTAAGTTGACATTTTAACACGTACGTATCACAGTAGTGGCTGTTGAGTGGTTATTGGATGGCTTCAGGAAGGTTAATTTTATGTTATTACATTTATTTTGTATGAAGATTCATATTAATTTTTATGGGACTGAAGGTACGACATTACCTAGGAAATACTTT